TTTGTGTTTGATATTCCTGTTTCACACAGAACTGTTGGTGCAAAATCAAATTTAGAAAGTTGGCCAATTCAGACATAGGGTCCCTCCCCACACAATTGCTCAAAGCTGCCCTTGAAACATGTTGAACAAGTTTTATGTCCCATTGAATCAATAGGACTTCAATACTTCCCTGTACAATCAATAAGATGCAAGGATGCTGAACGTCTCTATATTGTTCTCGGTGTTTATATGCCATACTGCAAATTTCTGGGCTCATTTACATTCAGAATTATTTGAAAGCAGTAGAATCTAGATGTTTCTTCATGGGCAACCTCAAGTGATAAATGAGCTTGCTGGGGAAAGGTTAATTGCTACCCATGAAGTACTAAGATATTTATATTCACAAAATTATAGGCTGGTTTATAGAGGGAATCTGCAGAAAGCATCATGCACAATGGATATGCATTAACTAATGCCATTCAAAAGTCGGTTCTACAGACCAATAATTTTAGGGATGTGTTACAAATCAGCTATATTGAAAAATTGAAGATTATTCATGCAGAAAACAACTATGCAGTGAGAAACAATTAAACAAGGTTAATTTTCAGAGCACTGCCTAGGCAAAATAAACCTTTAAAAAAATACCATTGACGTCAAAGGTAGAGATTTAAGCAAGTCTCCCACTGAAACCAACAGGACTAGGACATTTATCACCATGTTTGAAGGAGCAGCTGCTCCCAAGTGCTCCTGGTTTTAAAGACCCAATACAGCAAATTTGCCAGTGATCCCACAGACCATTCCCAGTCACCAGTCTAGCTGCGGCATTCTGGACAACAGACATACCTTGGAAGTCGAACAGAATCCATTCCGGAAGTCCGTTTGACTTCCAAAACGTTCGACTTCCAAGGCATGGCTTCCGATTGGCTGCAAGAGTGTCCTGCAGCCAATCAGAAGTGGCGGAAGCTGTCCCGGATGTTCGGCTTCCAAAAATCATTCGAAAACCAGAACAATCACTTCCAGTTTCCAATCATTCGGGAGCCGAAACGTTTGAGTTTACAGGCGTTCAGCTTCCAAGGTTCTACTGTAGTTGTAGTTTCTGAGTCACCTTCAAAGGTAGCCCCACATAGAGCGCATTGCAGTATTGCAAGTGGGACATAACGAGGGCATGTACCATTTTGGCGAGAAAGTGTGTGGGCAGGTTAATGCAAACAGAATCTAATTTCTCCCCTAGCCCTACTTCTGAGTAGACTTATATAGATTTGCTCTGTAAATGTATAAATAAATAAATTACAGATCTTCATCCCTTTCCCTACCAACTTCTAGACTCCTTCAACAGGCATCTGACAAGGCAGAGGCTCCATCCTGCAGCCGTTCATGTAGCAATAAATTTGCCCAAGTCTTTTCTAGCGGGCCACTGGGATCTTTGTTGTTCTTGCTACAGGACACGAACATGCCTGCTGTTCTGCAAACAGATTTTTATGTGCCTCCCTTCCCTCTTTCTTTAATATGTCAAGAGAAACCTCTTGACCTTGTTCCTTGATCTTGCTGCAGGATGAGAAATAAATGGTGATCAGCCCAGTCGGTTCTATTTCTGACAGCACTTAATGGCATGTGGGATCGAAGTGCTTGTGGGGCGGAGAGAGAGGAAAGCAGGGGAACTGTGTGCATGACATGACTCTAAGAAGCTTCTGGAGTACTAGAGAGCCAGGGGAGATGAGGGGATTTGAATCAAGGATGGCTGTGGTTTGCTATGTGCCGAAATGGTTTATGGTTGCAATTTGATAAAAGAATAGTTCAGTATAATCAAGCCCTGTGTGCTTTAGGTTTGATTTAGATCTGCTTAAAGGCAGCACGATGTTGCAGGTTGGAGACAAGACAATTGGCTGTAAGAAACCTGAAAATAGCATGATAAGAGGCTGAACTGAATTTGATTATTTTAATTGCATTTTATGACCTGTGCAAAGCATGAGGAAGAGACAATTAAGCAGAATAGGACATATCCTAAGAAACGAGGGCCTGGTTCAAGATGCAGTGGAAGGGAAACTGGAAGGAAGAGGAGTCAGAGGCAGTCCAAGATGCTAGATACAGCCACATAAAGCAAATGTAAGGAGGATTCACTTAAAACAAAAACCTTTCCGTGTAACCTGCTGTATTAAGGGCTTCTTTCCATGCTTGTTCATAGCTGTCAACTTTTCTTGCGAGGAATCCTATTCGGAATAAGGGAATTTCCCTTTAAAAAAAAGAGGAAAACTTTGACAGCTATGTGCTCGTTCAAGCTCCAAAATGCCAGGGAATTTCAGCCGTTAAGGGCCACTTACAGGCATAAGGATGACTGGAAATATAGTTATAAGAACTTTTTAAAAAAATGTTGTTGTTTAGTCGTTTAGTCATGTCCGACTCTTCGTGACCCCCTGGACCAGAGCACGCCAGGCACTCCTGTCTTCCACTGCCTCCCGCAGTTTGGTCAGACTCATGCTGGTAGCTTCGAGAACACTATCCAACCATCTCGCCCTCTGTCATCCCCTTCTCCTTGTGCCCTCCATCTTTCCCAACATCAGGGTCTTTTCCAGGGAGTCTTCTCTTCTCATGAGGTGGCCAAAGTATTGGAGTCTCAGCTTCACAATCTGTCCTTCCAGTGAGCACTCAGGGCTGATTTCCTTCAGAATGGATAGGTTTGATCTTCTTGCAGTCCGTGGGACTCTCAAGAGTCTCCTCCAGCACCATAATTCAAAAGCATCAATTCTTCAGCGATCAGCCTTCTTTATGGTCCAGCTCTCACTTCCATACATCACTACTGGGAAAACCATAGCTTTAACTATACGGACCTTTGTTGGCAAGGTGATGTCTCTGCTTTTTAAGATGTTGTCTAGGTTTGTCATTGCTTTTCTCCCAAGAAGCAGGCGTCTTTTAATTTCATGGCTGCTGTCACCATCTGCAGTGATCATGGAGCCCAAGAAAGTAAAATCTCTCTATTGATAATTTTAAAGACATCTTTCAACAGTTCAGAACTAAAGCAGGTATAGTGTGTGAGAGAGAGGATGTGAGTGTGAATGAATGTTCTCTCTCCCACTTCCATCATAGAGCAAAGGTTGTTATTTTTACCTAGTCATGCCCTGCGACACAATTCTAAACTTAGGTGAATTGCATTCCAGACATTTTCTTACACAATCAACTACATCGTAGACTGCACTGATTGGGGGGAAAGTATGACTCATACAATCGAAAGCTTTTCTGAGGACTGCTAGTCACTTTGCTAATGGCAACCTGCCTTGGAGATGACCAGATGGAACCGCAATTTGTTTACTTGGACTTTATATGTACTGAAAGATCTACATAGCACGTATACTTATTAACACTGACAAATACGTGTCCAGGGTTTCTGTGTCAAAGGCTGCAGCGGTAAGCCGTGGATGAGTAAATTTGTCAATTGGAACAGCAATAGAAAAGTGTTACAGTACTAAGAATTCAAAAGAGGAGTTTCTTCTTGCTATATCAGGATCAATCTTGCATGTGATGACAGCAGATGAGATACGTTGTCTGTTCCAATCGCTTATGGTATATGTTTTTTTTAAAAAAGAGTTGAAACTTTCCTTTGCCACTGCTTATTACCCCATAGGGAGGGGCAGGGCCGGATTTAGGTTTGATGAGGCCCTAAGCTACTGGAGGTAATGGGGCCCTGTATATGTCCAGCTGTCCTTTGTCAACAACAAATTGTTGCTGTTTTTTGTGTTGAATATATGCTATATGGTAATTTATGGACCCAATAGGTATCTAAAACCATTTGCACAAGTTGTCATGCAACCGGTCCATGCAGAATGTAGGTATCTTATATATAGAAATGAGCAAACCAGTGATATTTTAGGGAGCAGGCTAGCAGGTGGAGTCCATTACTTACATCATAGGCGCCTACACAACACAAAACACTGTTGCTGTATGTAGGTTTTATTTTATTTGTTTTTTATCTTACATTTTGGAAATGTACATCCAGTTTTTTCCCCTTTAAATTTTTTGGGGGCCCCCAAGAGAGTGGGGCCCTAAGCTATAGCTTGTTTAGCTTATACATAAATCCGGTACTGGGGAGGGGCAGAAATTCAACTCAGTTCAGATTTAAAGGCAAACCTACCAAATTATCACTTTCCAAAACAATATGAGAACCATCCTTTGAAATACTCTAAAATTTGCAATGCAGTTCTCCAGCTAAGTAATGTGGACGAAAATGCACATATACTATGGTAAAGAGTGCACAAAACGTTATATATTACTGAAAATAACTTACAGAAATGTATTATTTTAGGGGAAGGTAGTTGCAAAAATGTATACACACGGGTCTCATTTGCCTAACGACCCCAAGATTTCAGTTGATTCCATCAAGAATCAGTGATCTCCCCCCCGCTCCTAAAATGGTTTCTTCCTAAAATTGCTGTGGCCAATGAACAAAAGCGAGACAAAGGGAAAAAAATGATTTGCCTGTTCTCTCCTGCTCTCTGATTTGTCCAATCTTTCTCCCTGCTCTCTCATTCCAAGTTTTCTGCCCCAAAATAGCTGCTGCTGACCAGCAAAGCATGAACAAGGAAAGAAGTGGACAAGCTGCAGCTGTCTGGATATTATTTGAATCTGCAGAGTGTATAGTGAGGTTTGGGGCATAATTCTTTATGTTTGTATAAGTGAATTTGCGGATGATAATGAGTGGGCAGGTAGCAGGACCTGCTACAGTATATTAGTCGAAACTCCATAGCAAAAATACCTTGGGACAAATTCACACTAAAATGCTGACAACATTAAATGAGCCTTAAAAAAAAAAGTCACTAATTGTTCCAGGATCAAGAAGAACTGAATTTAAGATTGGAAAAGTAAGAAACTGAAATTGACACATTTATCCATTCCTCTTTCCCTGTATCTTATCTCTCCCCCCGCCCTCTCTTTTAGGTCAGTCAAATTCCCTGCTTGGTCTTGGTGCAATGATTGTCCCTCAGCCTAACTTACCTCACAGGGCCTTTGTGAGGAGAAAAGCCCAAATATTGCTTCCGGGGGGCGGCGCGAACGGCAATGGCGGTCTTCTCCCGACGGGAGAGGAGGCTCCGCTGAAATCGGGTCGTCCGCTACGGCGAAGCGGAGACCCAACGAGGAAAACCCCAGGCAGCAAGAGCCTGGGGTCCTGAGGCTCGGCGGGCGCCACGAGCAGCCCTCCAACCGCAGAAGGAGCCTCGTAAGGGGCTCCGGAGCGTGGAGGGGGGTTGCGGTGCTGAGAGCCGTTTCACAGTCAGCGGAGTGAAGCCGCGCTGCTGCTGCCGGTGAGCGCTGATCCCTTTTCCTGTCAAAATTCGGACTTGGAAGAAAAACAACTTATTCGTGAGTAAAGACTGAATCACTTGGAATTACAAATTTTAAATGAGAAGGTTTAATTCGGCTTGAACTTGGCTGAAAGCGGAGAGACGTGGAAACAGGAAGTCCGTCTTCCGCAGCCATTGAACTTGAAAAAAAAGCAACTAAGGCGGAGGAGTGGAGGCTGAAAGAAAGAGATTTTAAACTCTACACAGCCAAGCATCTATGGAACTTACAATTTAAAGTAAAACCAGTAAGCTAAAGATTTGGATCTTTTATTTGCACTTGACTTTCCCCCTTTTATTGGATTACAAATTGGAAGGTGAAACCCAGAGTCAGGATTGCTTGAGCACTGTAAGAGTGAGCTGTCAGTGTTGATTTGGATACTGTATATTAGAATTTGCAACAATCTGAGGGTATTGAGACCTTTTAAATTTGAAACATTCTTTTTGGAGACAAATAAGCACTGTCTGCAACAAAGTGATTACTTTTAAACTCTGCTTAATACTTATATTGGAAGGTTCTGGGACATTAAATCAGACTCTGAAAGACATCTTAAGCTCCCTCTAGAGGATTGGATTAAAACAGTGACTTTACAAATACATTTACTTTCGATTCCCTTGTTGTTTGCTTGCTCTGGGCCTTTCTATTCCTGTGGGAAAAACTCAGTGTGACCTTGACTGATAGATAACATTGGAATGAGTGGTACAAGAAGAAGAGGAAGAGTCAGACAAACAACTTTAACAACTCTAACCTCAGCCTCGCAGACACGTAGATCATCTGTGCCTACTTTGCCCTCAGAAGTACAACTTGAAGAAGCTGCTTTGCCACAGGCAAAAGAGGGAGAGGGTGAAGCAGAGCAGTTACAATTGGAAGATATGGCCTCAGGAGCATCTGTTTCTGTACTAGAAAAAATCTTTGAAAAATTGGAAGCTTTGGACAAGAAAGTAGATGCGCAATCAGCAAAGATTGATAAAAATACAGATTGTCTAAACAAATTAACTACACAGGTGGGACAGAATACACAAGCAATTGGACAGTTAACGGAGGCCTCAGTAGAAAACCGAAAATTGGCTGAGGATACCAGACAAAAATTGGAAAATTTAGAGCAAGAGGTAAGACCACTCACTAAACAAGTTGGGGAACATCAGACTTATCTTTCTATGATAGAACTGCGAAATCGTGAGAATAATTTGAGGATTAGATCATTACAAGAGGCAGAAGAAGGAAATCTAACTGAGTTTTTGACCAAAGAACTTTCCAAGTTCTGGAATTTGGAAGAAAAGGACTTTAAAATTGTGTCAGCTTTCAGACTTGGAAGATTTATAAAGAAGGAGAGGCCCAGGGATTGTTTGATTACATTGAGATCGAAGGAGGAAAGGGATAAGATTTTGGGTCTACATTACGAAAAGTCACTGGAGGTTTTGGATAGAAGAATTGAGATATATAAAGATATTCCAAGACAACTGTTGGATCTCAGAGCCGCCTACTCTGAACTTGCTAAATTATTAAGGAGCAACGCAATTCCATTCAGGTGGGAATTTCCCCAAGGATTATCTTTTACCTTTAGAGCGAGAAAGGTCAAAATTAGAACATTGGAAGAGAGAGATAAATTTCTGGCTACATACGGAGAGGACCTACAAAAAGGAATTGAACTACCTTCCGGGCCTGGGGCAAAGCCAGCATTAATACCTGCACCTGGGGAACTTGAAGATCCAGAGAAGACACCACCCCGGGAGAAATAACCAGACAGATCCAGGATGTCTCTGCAACTGTTGAGCTGGAACATTAATGGTTGTAACATTCCGGAGAAAAGGAAGAAAATATTTCATATATTAAAAAAAGAACAATTGGACATTATCTGTTTACAAGAAACACATGTGACGAGGCTCCACAGAAAAGTGTTAATAAATAAAAGATTGGGCCAGGAATTTATTTCGTCGGACAAAGTGAAGAAGAGAGGAGTGGTGATATATGCAAAGAGAGCCTGTCACCTAAATTTCTATTTAAAGATGAACATGGAAGGATTTTGGCTATTGAGATACAATATCAAGGAGAGAAACTGCTGATATTAGGAATCTATGCACCCAATGAAGGGAAATCGGAATTTTACAAGAAGTTGCAGGGGACAATGCTGGATCATCTGGATTACAACAACATCATAATGATGGGAGACATGAACGGGGTCGTATCAACTAACATGGACAAGTCGCAAAGTCAAAATGTCACAAAAGATGGCAGACTACCTAAAACCTTTTTTTGAAATGACTGACAATATGGACTTGATCGACATTTGGAGAACAAAGAACCCACTAGGTAGAGAAGGAACATTCTTTTCTGAAGCCCAACTGACCTGGACAAGAATCGACCAAATATGGATTTCTAGAGGCCTGGCACCTAGGGTTAGAAAAGTGGAAATCTGCCCAAAGACCTGCTCTGACCACAACGCAGTAAAGATGGATATGACACTACTACCAACTGGATCCTTTAGATGGAAGATGAATGACAATTTGTTTAGAGATCAGGAAATTACCAAGAAGGCCCAAAAAGTTTTGAAAGACTATTTCGAGATAAACATGAATAATTCGGTGGAAAAAGAATCGTCTGGGACGCAAGCAAAGCTGTCATGAGGGGATTCTTGATACAACAGAATGTAGTAAGGAAAAAAACACAAAATGAGAAAAAAGACAAGATCTTGGATAAAATAAAAGAATTAGAGAAGAAATTAAGAGTGAATCCAAAGTCACAGCCAACTCTGAGAGAAATTAAACTGTATCAAACACAATATTCTAAATTGATAAATCAGGAAATTGAATGGAAGATTAAATTAATGAAACAAAAAACGTTTGAGTCGGCGAATAAATGTGGAAAACTGCTATCTTGGCAGTTGAAGAGAAGACAAAGATTAAATACGGTTACAAATTTAGAGGTCGATGGAAGAAACATTCAGAATCCAGTGGACATTAGAAAGTGTTTCCAGAGATATTTTAAAAACTATATACCCAAGGGCCGCAAGACGAAGTCGAGATTAAACAATTTTGGCAAAAATGGATTATCTAAACTGTCACAAGAAAATAGGACAACCCTGAACTCTAAAATAACACGACAGGAGATTGAACAAGCTATTCAGAACATGCAACTTGGCAAATCTCCAGGGCCAGACGGGCTGACCTCCAAGTATTATAAGACACTAAAAGACTATTTGATACAACCCTTGATGGAGGTTAGCAATGAAATTATGGAGGGGAGAGGGCACCGGATTCGTGGAAGGAAGCGTTTATCACATTGATACCAAAGTCAGAAGCTGAAAAGACACAACTGAAGAACTACCGTCCCATCTCCCTTTTAAATGTGGATTACAAAATATTTGCAGATATTTTGGCAAGTAGATTTAAAAAGTTTTAAATGAAGTAATTCATAAGGACCAGGCCGGTTTTCTCCCAGGTAGACATCTGTTTGCTAACACAAGGAACATTATTGATATCTTGGAACTTCTCCAAACTGACATAAATACAAAAGCAGTTTTAATTTTTATAGATGCGGAGAAGGCCTTTGATAATATTTCTTGGAAATTTATGATGGGAAACTTAAAAGAGATGGGAGTGGGACGGGGTTTTGAGAATGGGATTGAGGCGATATATTCAGAACAGAAAGCTAAACTGATAGTTAATAATGTGGTTACAGAAGAGTTCAAAATTGAAAAAGGGACACGACAAGGTTGCCCTATCTCCCCTTTGTTATTTATTTCGGTTCTGGAAGTGCTATTGAACATGATTAGAGGGGACCAGTTGGTGGAAGGAATTCAGGTTGGTCAGAAACAATATAAACTAAAAGCTTTTGCAGATGACCTGGTTTTGACCTTGCAGAAGCCAGAGCCTAGTACGAAAAGAGTATTACAATTGATTAATGACTTTGGTCGGGTGGCGGGATTTAAATTAAATAAACAGAAAACCAAGGTTTTGGGAAAAAATTTGACTGAGACAGAGTCAGAACGGTTTCAGAATGAGACGGAACTTAATGTGGTTAAAAAGTAAAATACCTAGGGGTAAACATAACAGCAAAAAATCTAAGTCTATTTAAGGATAACTATGAAAAATGTTGGACAGAAATTAAGAGAGACTTAGACAGTTGGTCAAAATTGAAACTTTCTTTGTTAGGCCGAATTGCTGCGATTAAGATGAATGTATTGCCAAGAATGTTGTTTTTATTTCAAACACTTCAGGTTTTGGACAAAATGGAGTGCTTTCAGAAGTGGCAGAGAGACATTTCGAAGTTTGTCTGGCAGGGCAAAAGCCCAGAATTAAGTTTAAGATACTAACTGATGCAAAACAAAGAGGGGCTTTGCCCTGCCGGACTTAAAGTTGTATTACGAAGCCGCAGCGTTCTGCTGGCTAAAAGATTGGCTACTTCTTGAAGACACTGATGTGTTAGATTTGGAAGGGTTTAACAATGTTTTTGGATGGCATGCATATTTATGGTATGACAAAGTTAAAGCAAATAAGGCCTTTAAGAACCATATTGTTAGAAAATCACTGTTTAATGTCTGGACAAAATATAAAGACTTGCTGGAAAATAAAACACCAAGGTGGCTTTCACCTTTGGAAGCTAAGGCCCGAAAAGACCCAATATGGAGGCCAAATGGCCAAAATATTGGGAAATATTAGAAAAGATGGAGACAATTGGAAACTGCAGAGTTTGGAGAAAATGAAAGACAAAGTGCGAGATTGGTTACATTATGCTCAGATTAAAGAAGTTTTTAAAAATGATAAGAAACTAGGGTTCCAGGTGGAGAAATCGAAATTAGAAACAGAATTGTTAGAACCAAAGATTAAGATACTTTCAAGGATGTATAACTTGCTGTTGGAATGGAATACACAAGATGAAATGGTTAAATCGGCTATGATAAGGTGGGCACAGGATATTGGGCATAATATTATGTTTGAGGACTGGGAAAGGCTGTGGAGTAATGGATTGAAATTTACTGCATGTAATGCTTTGAAAGAAAATGTAATGAAAATGATTTATAGATGGTATATGACCCCAGTCAAACTCGCAAAAATTTACCACCTGTCTGATAACAAGTGCTGGAAATGTAAAGAGTGTGAAGGAACGTTCTTTCACCTCTGGTGGACCTGCCCTAAAGTGAAGGCGTTCTGGGAAATGATTTATAATGAATTGAAAAAGGTATTTAAATATACTTTCACTAAGAAACCAGAGGCTTTCCTTTTGGGTATTGTCAGCCAAGGGGTGGCAAAGAAGGACCAGACATTTTTATGTATGCAACAACAGCAGCAAGGATACTACTCGCAAAACATTGGAAAACTCAAGATATACCCACACTGGAAGAATGGCAGATGCAACTGATAGACTATATGCAACTGGCTGAAATGACTGGCAGAATCCGTGACATGGGAGAAGAGAGAATCGAGGAGGATTGGAAGAAATTTAAGAACTACCTACAAAAACATTGTGATTTGACTGAATGCTGAATAAGATGCTAGACTAAATAACTGAGCACCACTTAACTTAGAAGTTTTTAAGAAAATAAGAAAAACTGTGAAAGTTTAACTCTTTATGAGAACTATAAGATCATGAAATATCGAAGAGATATAAGAATTTAAATAAGATGATAAATTGCTGACAAAATGTTATAATGATGAAGGTGGGAGCGGGAGATGTGAGGAAGTCCAAAGAAAATGTGAAATTATGTTAAGACGAATGTTATATTGTTTATTACATTTATTCCTATTGTAAAATCCAATAAATTGCTTTA